ATGTCGCTTAGAATACAGTCCGAATTAGATTCGCTTCACTTCACTTCATTAATATTTTGTTGACTACCAGTCAACAAAAGCTCAGAAGTATATGTATTCTTTCATTTCAATCCAGTATTTCTGTCAGAGGCATATCAACCTTGACCGGCAACTGACAATGTGTTTTAATTACAAGAAAATACACTTGTAATTCCAAAATATATTGCCAGTTTTGATACCGTTGGCTTGAGGACACGTGACTAGCCAAGTTCAGAATGTTCTAAGTAAAACTAAGTATCATAAAGCGAAAAAATGATGCTGCTAAAATCAAGCCATTTTGATCGCGCTGTGTTGGACATGATTGCGATTTCATGAATGTGAGGTCTGCTGCCAAACTACTAGCATTTTTCTAATGGTTTCTTTCAGGATGTGTTCTCTCATCCTTTTTTTAAACACTGGCATTTTATCAACTCACCTCTGAGCTTCTTTAGCCGAGAAATTTTGAAAAATCCAAAATCATATCAACTCACCCCCTGTGGGGTGGTGAGTTGATATGAACTTTGGCGTTTTAAAAAAGGGGCTTAATATATACATTTTTTATTCATTTTTGCTGATTGCCTCCCCAAGGCATGTGCCATGAAACTGGCACAAAAAGAATTCCGTAAATGAATGTGGCTTTTAACGAAATCTAGAATAACCTCAAAATCCATATCAACTCACCCCGGTTTACGGTACCTATTAATGTCAGTACATTGGTAATCTTTCGCTCTTTCGTAAAGATGTAAATAGTTTTCTATCTTCATCCTAATGCAGAAAGCTAATGAATGTATAGCATATGTTGATATTCTTTATTATACAGACAGTTTGCATAAGCAAAAATGTCTAACGGCCCTGACATGTTCGTACACTCATAAACCAAAACCATTCCACATCTACCATCGAACATTGTGCACTTGTGTGAGGCTCATAGCTAAGCGATCAGAGGCATCCACGGTTCGTCGGAAGGTCATCTCAGGCTCAAAAGAAACGATATATACCATTCGAAAGCTGACGGTGAGCTGAATCCAAAAATGTAATTTTTATCAAAATCGATCGATGGCCTTTTTTGAAAATTGCGTTTTTGTAAAAACTTTATAATCTGTTATTCAACGAGCTGTCCCGGACATTCTTGAAAACATAAACACGTATTTTTTAGTTCCAGTAAAAGCTGAACGCCAAAAGAACAATATTTAGGGAAGCAATATTTCCAAACATTAATATGCGACTCCCACAGCCGAAAATAAGGCGCAATCACACAGCTCAGTGTCACGATGGACCAAAGTCAGCCACACAGAAGCGTGAAATGACCCTTATCGACTCGCAGACCCGGCGCTATCGGCCCGCCTGACCGGCCACGGAAAGAACGTTCGGCTCTCGTTCTACTAAACAAATGTCACATTTGTCAGTTTAACTGTCCACATCGCTATTAAAGTTATTCAGGATACCTGTGAAGAAAATTCATTGTTCTGTCATCTTCACATCATACATTAATTTGCATTTGTTCATGTCTACTTTATTTACTCAATTGAGCTCGGTATCATGCCCATATAAGGAAAATGGGCCGCACTGAAATGTCAGAGGTTGCATCGGCCTCAGCTCGGGTGGAGTGGGGGTAGCGCCCGGTGGGGCAGGGTAACCTTTGACCGGTCGCATGGCCGAGCAGCTGTCAACAGTACAGCCTCTGACAGTGAAACCCCGCTCACTTCCCCTGCGCGGGCACTGAGCGCAGCTGGATGGAACAAAACATGTATGAGAAAAGTGCAAATTCAAGCATGTTGTAAATTAAACAGAACAATGAATTTTCTTCACAGGTATCCTGAATAACTTTATTAGCGATGTGGACAGTTAAAGTGGCAAATATGACATTTGTTTAGTAGAACGAGAGCCGAACGTTCTTTCCGTGGCCGGTCAGGCGGGCCGAGAGCGACGGGTCTGGGAGTCGATAAGGGTCATTTCACGCTTCTGTGTGGCTGACTTTGGTCCATCGTGACACTGAGCTGTGTGATTGCGCCTTATTGTCGGCTGTGGGAGACGCATATTAATGTTTGGAAATATTGCTTCGCTAAATATTGTTCTTTTGGCGTTCAGCTTTCACTGGAACTCAAAAATACATGTTTATGTTTTCAAGAATGTCCGGGACAGCTCGATGAATAAAAGATTATAAAGTTTTTACAAAAACACAATTTTCAAAAAAGGCCATCGATCGATTTTGATATAAATTACATTTTTGGATTCAGCTCACCGTCAGCTTTCGAATGGTATGTATCGTTTCTTTTGAGCCTGAGATGACCTTCCGACGAACCGTGCATCCGAACTCATCCGAAGTCAGGCTATTGACCCGAGCGGCTGTCGCAACACCACGCTAGCAGCGCTCGCTCTCGTCCCTTCTGCACGCATTCACATTCCACGGAGTTTGCTTAGGCCGACTGCGAGGCGTAGTGTTGTCTGGTTAGTTTGACTCAGAACGGAAGCAAGCCTGCCGTGACATCACGGGGCTTCGTTGGACCTGAGTGGTGACCTCTGACCTTACGGGTCACGATACAGCGGTGGAGTGCGGTGACCTGAGACTAAGAGTCTGAACCGGGTCCCAGCCTTTTATGACAGGGTATGTGGACTAAGCACTATGTGTGAACTGTGGCTCACGGCACGTTTGGTGATTCCCACTTGGCTTGTTGACAATATTTAGAGTTTGTAGGTAAGTCATATGTATGTAGGTATGCTAGAGCTTGTTGGTGATATATTTTAGTTTAGTGGCTAATATTTTGAGTTCGAGGGTGACATTTTACCTGTAGGTATTTAGCAATGGTGACAATTAACCCGCGCCCTGCTGGGGGGGGGGGTGTTTGAACACCCCCCCTTGTGGTTTTTCGCGAATATCTCAAAAACGGCGGCGCGGAGCGCCGCCGTTTTTGGTACACCTTATCATACATCAATTCTACACATGTTGTGAAAATTTCAGACCAAGGTCATTCAAGGTCAGGTCACCAGGTCACTTGAGGTGACCTTACCTCATAAAAACTTTCAATGTCTGTCATAGCTACACCGAGTTACCGATCGCTTTGAAACTTTCAGCGATTGCTAAGAGCAATAGCATGTACAAAATGTATGTCTCAGAATTTTGATATCGATGACCTAAGGTCAGGTCAATTTTGCGACCTCCCCATTATAAGTCAATGGGAGAAAATTGAAATGCGCCTCTTTTGGATGAAAGACATTATAAACACTCCCAAACACCGAATTACAAGTGTTTTAGACACACTGAACTTGAAAATGGTGTCCGTGACCCTTGTTTATGCCCTGAGGTCATCTTAGGTCACGAATGGTATCTAACAGTTTTTCGCAAATAACTTTTGATAGAGGCATGCTAGAGCGATGAAAACGCCTTAGATGTGTTCAGCTCGACGATACGGATCGACTGATATGCAACATGACCCTTTCCGGTCAGGTCATGACCTTGACCTGAGGTCAAATTTTCAAGTTGACCTTTCAAGGTCAAGTCATAGTTCATTCGATGCGTCTTGACGAGAGGAACACGATGCCGGTAAAAGTAAGCTCGTACAAGGCTTGGGTCAAAAGTTATTGCAGAAAAACTGTTTCCGAAAAAATCGGCTATTTTTGCAGTTTTTTGCCCCCTGCAGGCAAAACCGTTGACGTTAGGTCAAATCTGAGAGAATTACTCAGAAAGGGCGTTAATAGGGCTATCGAATGCGCTTTTCCGCGGCGCTGTAGCTCTATTGGTTCCCGAGTTACGCGTTGGCTTCTTGGAAATTTTCGACATTCGACCTGGAAATCGGCGAAATTTTGCCTTCAATGACCTCTGGTGACCTGACCTTTGACCTGACCAAAAAATTGACCGAAGTGATTTCGTCATTATTTTTTATGCTCTTTCGAACGCCGCCTTCCGCGTATCGCTACGTGGCCCAGGAGCCGAGTTACAAGGGGGGGTGTTCAAACACCCCCCCCCCCCAGCAGGGCGTGGAAATCCAGGACCCCCAGCAGGGCGCGGGTTAAATCATTATTGAGACGTTTCAATTAAATCCCGACTGTTTGTTGCAGCACTTAAATCGCCTGTTGATATCACATTCTTTGGGTGTCAACTGTCATTTCTTTTGCAAATTTATTTTACAAATTTATGATTGTTGTTTTCCATTATAGCTCAGAAAGTGATGACGTTCCATTTCCGGTATGTACGTACACCATCGTTTGCCAGAAACGCCCACGCTCACAACAAATAGTAGGTAGTGTACCGTACTGTGCAGCAGCAGCCTGACACTTGCTTCCTCTTTTCAAACATTCAAACAACAGTCACATGCTGCACTCTACCGCTGTTCGAGCAGTCACTGTGAACCGCTCTTTATTCCCACCGGTCAGCAGTTTGACCTGAATCCGCTGATAACTGCTGACGCCGTGACATTCCACGGAAACTGGTACAACGCACGGTACATTTTCGAGTCATGTTGACCAGACAATGACTCGGCTGGACGAGTCATAGTTGGCTCCCAGGCTCGGTCAGATATTGGCTCCCAGGCGAGGCAAGGGGTGGAGTGACCTGGTCAGTCGCCAAAGGATCGTGACAGAGGAGTCGCTGTACCGGTCAGAGGTAGCCAATGCGGTCACACGAGCAGACAGAAGGCATCAAGCTGAATACAGAACAGTATGGGAAGCATCATATTGAATGCCAGGGAGGTTGGTGACAGCAAGAAAATGGGTTGGCATCCATGGCGTTGTTTCAGTGTATGGGAGATCTTCAGGACAAAGTGATATTTTTTCATTAGGCGGTATGGACCTTCGGAGGATGAGAGAACCTCTAAGAGGCGAAAGACAAAGGAAAAGTACATAGTTAACGGGCAGAGAAAGCCCATACCGTTCTAAATAGCTGTGTCCTACCAATCCATGGGACTTCCAGTAGCTTAGGACGAGGTCAAGTGTCACCACACTTTCATTTACAGCTGAATATGTTAACATATCTGTCATCTACATACCTGATTCTCTCCTCTCCGGGTATCAGCTCTCCTTGCCGTCCGTGGTCGATCGGGTTCTGACGACCGGACGTCTCTCACAGCCTGTGTGAGTTACTGGCGCTCCTGTTTCACAGAATAGGGCGCTCCGCGCACTAACGCTCACTCTGAAGCACACTCACACGGAGCTATCTTTCCGGAGCTTCTTTCTCTCACCACTAAGCCACACAGCGGACTTCTCTCTCGTCACTAAGCCCCGTAACAATGAGACGTCTCATCAGCGCCCCGTCAACGTCTCGTCCACGTCTCGCCCGCGTCAACGTCTCGTCCACGTCTCACCGCGTCTCGTCTCGCCCGCCTCTCGTCCGCCACTCGCCACGTCTCGCCGCGACCGATTCCAGACGGAGACTGCGGCGCAGCAGCGCACCGTACCACCAACCCTCCGCGCCGCCGCCGCCGCCGCCGCCGCCGAGTATACCTATAGCGCCGCAGCAGCAGCTCGGCCCGCCGCGCCGCGCCGCCGCCGGCGACCACGGCTAGAGAGCACGTCAGGCGGCGTGTTTCCGGGCCGCTCGACGCACGCGACTCTCTCTCTCTCTCCCTCTGCCGCTGTCTCTGTCTCTGTCTCTGTCGCTGTCTCTGTCGCTGTCTCTGTCTCTGTCTCTGTCTCTGTCTCTGTCTCTGTCTCTGTCTCTGTCTCTGTCTCTGTCCCTCTCTCTCTCTCTCTCTCTCTCTCTCTCTCTCTCTCTCTCTCTCTCTCTCTCTCTCTCTCTCTCTCTCTCTCTCTCTCTCTCTTTATTTTCTCTCTGTCTTGTCTCTATCTGCCTCTCTCTCTCTCCCCCTCTCTCTCTCATTCTCTCTCTCTCTCTCTCTCTCTCTCTCTCTCTCTCTCTCTCTCTCTCTCTCTCTCTCTCTCTCTCTCTCTCTCTCTCTCTCTCTCTCTCTCTCTCTCTCTCTCTCTCTGTTTCTTTTTGTTTTTGCTCATACTATTACTTTGGACTGAATATACAAACAGCCTCTGTTCGCACAGCAACGTTGTTTTTTGTGAGTGGACTTGGAGGTGTGCTGGTCACGAGATCGTTTTCTTCTACGGAGTAGGTGGTCTAATTCTCTCTTTGATTTTTCTTTTGCTGGCAGCTTGAAGGAGAGGCGAAAAATAACATTGCAAATGCCAATCAGGTAATGGAACTTAAAAGCGGCAGGGCAACGTATCACTGTGCACTGTGCAGTAGTCACTTATCAGGCCAGCAATCAAACCGCTTCGCCACGGTCTGGTAAAAACCCAATTTGTTCAGCGTACACACACACACCCCATTTGATGTTTACCGAAAAGGCCAGTGTCCACCACACGTTTGTTCCATTTTATCTAACATCCATTCTGGCGGATATATGCATTCGGGGTGAAGTGTCCGTAGCAGCGAGCTGGGGGTTCTAGCACGGTATCTTGGACACTACTGAACGTTTTTGGTACTGCCCGGCGCCCGCGGACGACCAGCACCACTTCCAGCTGTATGACACCAGTACCAGACCAGCACTACTGCGAGTCAAAACGGTGCACCAGTTCAGCACCAGTCTTGGGTAGCACTACTCCAGTCTTTACGGTACACCAAGTCACACCACTGCCAGCTCCGGAGCACCAAGTTAAAGGGACCCTCCCACCTTCAAAAAAGTTAATGAATTGGCATGAAAGTGATGTCCCTTGGTTCAGAAAGAGCGAAAACGAATATCTACCAAATTTCACCGAAAAATATTCACTGGTTTTCAAGATATTTGGCTTTTACTTTTGTTTACTTTTTGGGATCTCCCCTGTTACTAGCGACTTTATTTGGAAGCAATAATTTGGCAGCCCTAAAGTGCGGCAGACGTTGCGCGCAAAGCAGCGTATACCACCACGTGTTAACGATGGTTTTAGTCTAAGATTTAAAAATCGTTAGATCTCCGCTGACGTCACAAATTCTAAGGGGGCATTCCAATGCATTAGCCCCTTAGAATCCGAAAACTGCAAGTTTGAAATTCCATATCTTCGAATTAAAGCATTTTTCGATGTTGTGAGTGTCCAAACCGGTATTTGCAGGTCATGGCCACCAATTTGGCTATCTCAACTCAAAACTAATGTTAAGGGAGGGTCCCTTTAACACCAATGACACTACGAGTTTTCCTCAGCACCAGATCAACACCATTCCCAGTCCTGGTGCTCTGGGGGCCTACAGGAGCGCGGACAATGCTTTTTCAACCTGATCCCCTTAACAAAAAGACTAGGCGAGCCGACGAAGTCAAACGGACTCTCCCTTTGTTTGGGGAATGGCTTCGTCATTGGGTAGTGGAGGCAGAGATAGCTATCGTGAGAGATGAGGTCCCGATGTTGCTGGATCAGGGGCCACAGTACAGCCGTCAGTACGTCCTGGTCCAGACCCTGCGGAAAGACACACGGCTGAAGACGCTCACAATAAAAGGGTAGGCGACGCTAAAGCTACAGTGCTGTTGAACAGTCTGGTCTGGGCGTTTGTTCTTTGGTATAAGATTCAACCACCGTCTCGACTTCTGACGAAGCCAAAAATAATGCATTATTGAACGTGGCTCCTTTGGCTGAATTGATAACAATTCTTCGCTGACTTTAGCTCATTCGTCTGAACTGGCCTTGAATATCTATTGTCCTCTTCCTCTGCGACTCAGATGACCTTGAACCCCACTGACCTCTGCGGGGCAAATGACCTTAGGACCCCACATTGAACTACATCTGTCCGCACTGACCTTGTACCGCTGCTGGGTGACCTTGATGATACGGTCGCGGGCTGGCTTGTAGATAGAGTTGTAGCGGTTCCAGCCACCCCACATTCCTCCCAGAATTTCTGTCCCGTGCGCAGGAGCGTCCCGCATGGCGTGGAACGTTCGATTGGAGGCAATCCAGTCGTCTACGGCTGCCCGCTCTCGCTGTGGGTGAAAAGGAGGGAGGTCATTGACGGGGAGGTCAGGTGTGGTGAAGAAAACGAGTCCTGCCACTCCCGATGGAGGCCCCGAATATCTGGCAAGGAGACCAGACATTTGGAGGTCTCCATCCATGGTGAAAGAAACCAGTCCTAGCACTTCCGATGCTTCCTTCACCACACAGGCCACACGGATCATAGAAGAGCTTTTATTCACAGGTCAACGATGCCTTAGGCAAAGGGTAAGTCGCACAGGTATGTACTTTACGCTACCTATCTAAAACAGGGCTGCTCGCGACATCACAGTGCTCGGAAAAGGCTCATGAAATGGAAGTCCGTCATCACTTATTCTAAATGCTTGCTCTTCAGCGAAACTTCAAATGTTAGCTGCCTTGCTATTATAACTTTTTTGCCATTTTGCCTTTCTCACTAAACTATTTCTCATGAAGGTAGGGCTCATTCCGCCACACATTTACTGGCTATTGGATAAGCCAATCATCAGCCACTGAATATAGGTAAATTTCCGATGACGTCACACCTACCCAGCCAATCAGTGAGTCCAGATCGCGAACGATGAACCGCTCCACGGTGCCGTCAGCCAACGGCATGAACCGCCAGATCATGCCAAACTTTTTGCTTAGATCGCCTAGTCCTGGCAGGTCGTGGACGTCACAGAAGTCCACGTTGTCGTAACTGAAAACACACGTCATAGATTGGCAGCCAAGAAAAATAATATGCTAGTACTTATAACTGTGAATTTGAACGCTCAGATATTTTCAAAAATCAATGTTGCTTGGGATTATTTCGTGAGGCAAGATGGATATTGACATGGAATATAGCCCAAGCCCATGAAGGTAGAAGAAGAAAATCCACAAAGGCCTTACTTCAAGAATTTCCATCCCGCAAGAGGAAAAGTTTCACAAGCCATGCTCGCATTTTCACATATAGGACAAGGTTCCAGGGCTCTAAGGGTTCAACTACAGTCAGCTTAACTTACCGACACTGCACATCGCAGACAAGCTCCCTCTGTCGCGGTTCACTCATGTTGATGTCGTTATACACCCGAACCACCCATCCGGGGTAGATCTCGGGCACCTTCGCGAGGTTCGCCTCGATGCCACGGAAGAACACGCTGGAGGCGATGCCGTAGAAACTGAAGGAGATGACATTCTGCTTCGCACCGCGAATGTCAGCAGTGATGCCGCAATTTGAGCGGGTGCCGTTCAATGTTCGGTAGGCGGATTTGGAGTACTTCCGGGAACAGTTGCAGCCCCGAAGCTCGTATACGCCGATGTCAGGGTCTGGCGAATTGTCGAGTCCGTAGGCAGGCCCAGAGAGTGGCAAGGAGTCGAGAGTCGTGGCGGGCTGTTCAGAAGAGGCCGGAGAGTTGGTATTTGAGTCATGGTTGACTCCAGGTACTGAAGAATTTAAAGAGGCTTTGATGGATGCTGGTCCGGGGTTTGTGTCAGAGAATACAGCTGAGTTCGCTGGACGACTAGAGGTTGCTGTGTCTCGTTCTGAGTCAGGTGAGTGCGGCATCGCCGGCTGCCGGAAGTCATAGTCCTGCAGCAGCACCATCAGCAGCACGGTGATCAGCAGCGCTGGCAGCAGGATGTTGGCACGCCTCCAGACGTGGTGGCAGATCAGCTGTAGATGTCGGAGCGGACTCATCTGGAGACCGGTAATGTGTGAAAATCCACCTGAAATTAATGGAAACCAAAAATTAAACCAAAAATTGAAACCAAAGATTGATTAGTTCGATTTGACTTGTTAGCCCGCGCCGGACCGTTGCTCAGCACCAACCGCGCTGGGCCGGGAAGGGGTGTATGAATGCCCCACCCCCTCTAACTCGGCTCCTGGGACACGTAGCGACACGCGAATAGGCAACATTCGAAGGAACGTCAAAAATAGTGACGATAGTGTTTGACCATTTTTTAGGTCAGAGGCCTCTTGCACCAAACGACCTAGCTGGGTAAAATCGAAGAAACCGATTTCGGAGTTAGCTAACCTAACGGTGGTAAAGTATTTTAAACCTACTTACTAGCCCATAACGTAAGCATACAGGTGCTTGCTATAATTTATAGGTAAATTGTCACAGTAGAGCCTTGGAGTGGGTGTGCGGTGCAACAGAATCCAACGATTGGTGCAGGGAGATTTCGGTGCAACAGGCCTCAGGTCAAAGGTCAGATCACTAGGGATTAGCAAAGGTACAATTTTGCCTTTTTCAGTATTTCTTTTTTTTTACAAACCGCCGCCTAACTCTGGAACGATTAGAGCTAAAGTAAGGCGGAACAGTTCATTCGATAGCCCTTTCAACTATTCATGCATCCAGCCATCCATATCTAGACAATTATTATGGATACAACCGGAGCATTGCCAATTGGACAGACATGCGACATGGATCCATGTATGTACAGTCGCTTACCAAAAGAGGTTAGCACTGACGTCAGGGTCCGGTCTGACCTCAAGGATCACGATGAATATTGTCGCTGCCACGAAAAACACATAACGTTTCTCTGCGCCGTGTTATCAACTCCAGACAGGGCTGCGGAGTCGATTGATTTTCGGTGACTCCTACTCCGACTCAGATTCCGATCGAAACTGTCGACTTGGCCATCGACTCCAACGTCCTACTCCGCAGCCCTACAGATCTGCGGAGTCCACGCATTTTCGGTTACTCCTACTCCGACTCTGAATCTGTTTTCCTCCAAAGTCAACTCCGACCCCGACTCCGCAGCCATGCCCCCCGGTTCAGCAGATACATACATTGGCCGCCGATCATGAGCTGCCCCCCCCCCCCCCCAATCGTGCGGCTGGACTCAAGTGACGAGAGAAGGAAGGAAAAGGAGATGGAGGGAGGAGAAGAGAGAGAGGGAGAGAAATGGGGATAGGTAAATGTAAAGGGGAGAGAGAGAGAGAGAGAGAGAGAGAGAGAGAGAGAGAGAGAGAGAGAGAGAGAGAGAGAGAGAGAGAGAGAGAGAGAGAGAGAGAGAGAGAGAGAGAGAGAGAGAGAGAGAGAGAGAGAGAGAGAGAGAGAGAGAGGGAGGCAGGGAGGCAGGGAGATAGACTAGATAGAGAAGTATGTAGGGTGAAAGGGGAACCGTAGGAAAACCCTTTTTGCAGAGGTGAAGAATTGCCATGATCGAAGAAGGTGCTCTATCAGCACTTCCCGGGTGGCAGCGCGAAATTATAGCGCAATAAAATATGTAGCGCTCCCCTCATCTCTGTCCTCGCGAAGTACCTACCTACGTTCTTAAACAATTTGTGTCTGATATGAAATGGATGCCTCCACTGGAACATTTGCCAATATGTTAACCTCTGAATTTCAGGGAGCGCCCTCAAAAACCCAGCATTCTCCACCCCTGCCTGCTAGTACCCTTGCTTATCATTGTATTTCACCTATCATGCCTGAGCCTGACACTTGCTCTGTCGTCAGCTTCATAACGGACGACTGCACCGAGACTGCACTTGAGCTTAGCGACCGTCCATCCGCCACAATTAAATGTATGCCAATAAAACTACGCCTGTTGTTTTCAGGCAATTATGCAATAAATTCGTGAAAATGATTGGTTTCAATAATTCATCGCCTTAAATATATTTATGTTAATCAATGACAACCCACTACTGATTCGTATTGCATAATTCTTCGCACGTTTGCGTAGATAGGCCATGAATAACCACGCACAATGCATGATACGGGCCCTGCACCCTTCAACGCGTCGCGCGTCTCGGTAAAAATCGCCCTTATTGACAGACGCTCGCCGCCGGGCACGCGCTGTCTGCTACCCACCCCGTCCCCTCCCCCTCCGCCCGCTCCCCCCACCCCTGCCCTAGCAACGGAGGCGTCCTTCTGCTTGCTACCGTAAGATGTTTACATTCGACCCAAGGACATGAATTTGGACAGAATATAGATGCAAAGGAAACAAAGGACTGAATGGTAAGTGCTGTGCAACATTCAAAAGAGAAAAAAGCTCCGTGTATCATGGTGTTGAATGGATCCACTTCGATGCATGTTTCATCTTTTGATTCACTCGCCACGGGCTGTCCCCCTAGCGGCACGTTCATGAACTACGCGTCGGGGGACTTTGGGCGGGCAATGTGTCTGGAGATGTCGCGCGGGGTAGGTCGCGGTCAAGTTGTGCTAAAATTGTTATTTTTTGCGTTTGGTGATCCTTGGTGATGTTATTTTGTGGGTTAAACTGAACTGATGAGTGCAGTGCTGGTGCGCGACAGTGGACACTCGGGCCGTGATAAGATAAGTGACATTCTGCCAACTGGAAGACTGCGATCGATGAGTTAGTTGGAGTGACCAGGTGAGTTACTGAACTTGAACTGTCAGTGAGTGACATATGAGTGTGTTTGGTGAGTGAGAATACATGGTGAGGATTGTCCGCCGGCCGGCGGGAAGGAAAAACTTTAATGAAACTGCCTGTTTCAGGACCGTCTACGATGGAGCTTGAGCTGTCAGCTGGAAGGCTTCGGATCGGGAATGGTCACTGGTCAGTCCGTTCCAGATCCACACTGGAACGGTATTTCATTATCTATCGTGTGCTCTGTTTTTGTGTATAACGGCGGATCCAGATGGGTTTTTATTCAGTGTTTCAAATTGAAATGTTGAAATTGAAATTGAAAATTGACTCGTTGCCTGGATGAAGATTTCCCATAGAATACATACAAATGTCTGGATAATCTCTGAAGTGATTAACTTGTATGTTTAATGTTATGCGTATAATTTATGCTTAAGTAAGAAGTAACTGGTGCAAAATGTACCTTCAACGTGCAGTCAATGCATAAACCATCACTCAAACTTTATTTCAATGCATTACAATTCATTGGTTACTTTCAACTTGGGCTTATTTGAGGTTTAGACGTTCGTGGTTTCCCTATTGCTTTGATTTGTTCGCAAAATGTTTCAAATTAACGTAGTCGGCTATCATCTGGGCCACCTGGATCCGCCTGTCATTGCCTCGCTGTAGCCGTGTTTGTCATGTCAAGACGCGCTGCCCGTTCTGGACGGCTGCCAGCCGTGCTCCCGGCTCCCGGCGCCGACCGGCCGCCGTGGGCAGCGCTCACCCGAGTCGGGTCAGCAGCTGACCGCTGACCGGCCGGCAGAGGTCAACGAAGGTCAACCAATTGCGCACGTGGCTCAACGCTATGAAATGCTGCTGGACGGGGCTAGAGTTTATCCGAGGGACTTATCTTTGTAATGTCGCTCTTTGGAATACTGAGTTGGGGTATTACAGACATATTTTGCTCTTGCTCTTCACTAGCTGGGGTAGGTATTCTAGTTTTGGATGATTTGATCATCGAAATAGGATAATGATATTACAATAATATAGGCAAAAAAGGTGTTAGCAATACATTTGCTAGGTGGTTATAATTTTCCAGGTTATTCATTCTTTACTTGTGGTAGCTGTCCCCTGAGTTGACAATAATAATTATCATTAATGAGTCGGGGATAATAATTGTAAATAAATAGATCACATGGTTACATTTACTACATAAATACGCCTAATCACTTACATGAGTTCATTATCAGAACAGTTACGTAATAACATAATCAATAACATAATAACATAATTAATTCCATAAAAACAATCAATTACATAATGACCTTTAAAACATAAACATGCCTAATCATTTACATAGTCGCATAAACAATTACATAAGAACATAATCAATTACATACCATAATTTAGTAATTGTACCATAATGGTTGAGATTCTCTCAACCTTCATAACCATAAAACAAACTTTTTACGTGATATATTGTAGGGATTAATTGATATTTGTTTTGCACAGAGTGATGTATACATTTAATTGCAATATGCATGAATGTATGGCTCAGGCGTAACATCCCTTGTTGTTGTTCTTGTCATTGGTGTGTCAACCACGACACCAAGTGGCCATCCATTTGACGGACTCTTTGCTCGGTAGCCGTCATCTTCAGGTTTTATTTGTGGCAAGTCAGTTGACTGAGTTTTGCTCGGTAGCCGTTATCCTCAGGTTTGTTGTGTGGCAAGTCATTTGACCGAGTCTTTGCTCGGTAGCTGGCACGCTCAGCTTTGTTTTGTGGCAAGTTATTTGACCGAGTTTTTGCTCGGTAGTCGTCATTCTCAGCTTTGTTTTGTGGCAAGTTATTTGACCGAGTTTTTGCTCGGTAGTCGTCATTCTCAGATTTGTTTTGTGATTAGTCATTTTAAGCGAAGCTTTGCTTGGTGTTCATCATTCTCAAGTTTTGTGGCAAGTCATTTAACCGAGTTTTTGCTCGGTAGTCAGTCATTCTCAGTTTTTTTTTTGTGGCAAGTCATTTGACGGAGTCTTTGTTGGTAGTCATCATTCATATATTTGATTTGTGGCAAGTCATCTGACTGAGTTTCTACTCGAAGGCTGTCGTTCTCAGGTTCGCTTTGTGGCAAGGTTTTTTGACCGAGTTTTTGCTTGGCAGTCGTCGTTCTCAGTTTTTTTTTTGTTGTGGCAAGTCATTTGAATGAGTGTTTGCTCGGTAGCCGTTATTCTCAGGTTTGTTTGGTAGCAATTCATTTCACCGAGCCTGTGCTCGGTAGCCGTCATTCTTAGGGTTGTTTTATGGCAAGTCATTTGACCGAGTTTTGCTCGGTAGTCTTCATTCTCAGATTTTTATTGTGGCAAGTTATTTGGGTAGCCATCCTTCTCAGGTTTGCTTTGTGGCAAGTCATTTG